ATATGCTAAGCATTTCCCCGTGTTACTCAACAGTCTTTGTAATTATCATGTTTAATGGCTGCCTAATAATCCGTTTAATGAAGGGAACATAATTTGGTTAACCATTCTTCTGGAATTGGAGATTTTGATAGCTTCCTTGTTTTTCTTTCGATTTTTTGCTATTATACATAAAGCCACAGTGCAGATCTTCCTGGACTAATTTTTGGGCAGGTTTTAGATCATTTTCTTGGGATGAGCTTCCTGTGAATAGAATTCCCGAGTCAAACCATATGAAACTTTTTGAGACTCTTCACACATCTTACCCAAATTGCCTTTTAGAAAGGTTTTGCCACTTGACGGCCCTGCCAGCTGTGCAAAAGAGGTCCCATGCCACCAGGACTGAGCCAGCCCTGGGAGCCTCTTGTTTTGTAGTACTCCTCTGATGAGCCCAAAGTGGTATCACTCCATTCTAATTTACACCTAGTTTATTACAACGAAGTTCAACATTTTCAAATGAATTTGTTTTCTGAACTTCATCTTTCATAAATGGACTCTTACCTCCTTTTATTGCCCCAACATTTCATTATGAAAATTCTTACCGCCTCTGTGAAGGTTTGATTTATGAGAATTTTCCACACACTCACACACACACACAGAAGCTTTACATTTCCCATAGTCAATTATATTTGTATTTACCATTAGAATTCTCCCTATTGCTGTGAAGGCTAAAATGGCCTCTCTCAATCACAGTTTGGGTAATGAATCATTTCCATTTTCTTTCCTTCTAGTTAGCAGTGTGGGTTTCTTTTCTTTTCTTTTGCACTTAACTCTTTAAATCCCCTGGCATTGATTTTGGTGGTTAATAGAAGGAGGTAAAAATTGCTTTTTGTTTCCCAAATAGGTAAAAATCCTTTTCCAGCTCCACTTAATGACACATCCTTCCATTCCCCATTAATTTGTGACAGCTCTGCTCTCATGAGCCACAGTGGTAGATAGTCTGGGGAGCTGCATCTGGTCTTCCTATTCTATTCCATTGAGATGTCTCTTTTTTTTTGCAAAAAAAGAATTTTTGTTTTATATAATATCTGTCAGGGTGAGAACCCTTGAAATCTCCATTTCATGCCAGATAAGTGGCCCAAGCATCTGACTCCCACATCCAACTTACCTTTGGTAGCTCACCTTGCTTGGGTTTCTCACAGCACCACTTTTCCACACATATATCCATTTTTTCTAGCTATTTCTTCTCCCTAGAAGTCAAATTGTATCATGGTGCTCCATAGGGGGGGCAAGTGGTGGGGGAGGCCTCAAAATCTGGAGCCAGGGCCACAAGGTCTGGGTTTGAGCACGGCCCCTGCCAGCCATGCACTGTGTCTTTGGGTACCTCAGTTTCCTTTTCCGTAAAATGGGGTTGTGATGTCCAAACGAGGCGGAGAACGTCAACACAGATTTATTCTCCACGCAGCGAATGTGTGGGAGGTTGCAGGGGATGCCAGAGTGGGCAGGGAAGGAATGATCTCTGCAGAAATGGCCTTCGGGGAGCTTCCAGGAGACTAGTAAGAATAAGGGCTCTTTTAGGTGAGAGCCCTTCAAAACAGAGGGACAAGGCAACTGCAAAGAAATTATTACAAGGGCCGAGAGGGAAATGAACAGAATATAAGGAAGGAATGGGACAGGGGTCCGGCGCTGGACAGGTGTCTGGGGAGGGTCTCTCTGAGGGACATTTAAGCCCAAAAGGCGTAGGGGGCTGGGGATGGGAGAGAGCTTTCCTGGGATGGGGAACAACATGAGCAAACGCTCTAATGAGCCTGGTGCCTTTCAGGAAATGAAAGCATTCACCTGTGGCCAGGGGACAGTGTGTTGGTGCATGCACTCGGGATTAAAATACGGACGGGCGGATCAGGTGTGTCTCCAGAAAGAGACCGATTTTATTATCAGGGCAACGGGAAGTCACTGAAGGCTGGTGATATGGACGGAATGACATGATGCTATTTACGTTTTTAAAAGTCTGCTTTTACTGCCGTGTGATAAGCGGGTGGGTGAGGAGGAAGAAAATTGTGAGGCCATTGCGGTAAGGAGGTGGGAGATGGGCGGTGGCTGCAATGGGGGAGTGGCAGCCAGGGGAGGGGAGGGCTAGGCTGGGGGTGATTCTGGAGACAGGAACTGCCAGGATTTGCTGGGATTGGGGGGAGCCGTGAGGGCAGGGAAGAGCCCAGCATGACTCTCAGGGGCCAGGTTTGAGAAACGGGGGTTCAAGGTTGGGCCTTGTGCAGAGAAGTGGAAGGCAGGAGTGGAGCGAAAGTTCTGGGGAGAAGTTAGCATTCTGATTGGCTGTGGCAAGTTTGGGGTGCCCGTGAAAGACATCCAAGTAGAGCCGTCAGCTGAGCATGTCAGTCTCCAGAGGGCAGGGCAGGACATAAACTTACAGTCATTAGGGACCCCCCCCCCAGGGTGAGAACAGAGAGGCAGATGGAAAGGGCCCCTACATGAGTCTGGTCTTGAGGGAACCCAGCACTTAGATGGTGGCTGCAGGAGGCCGCGGAGGTGTGGCTCGTGAGGGTGGAGGCTAACAGGAGATTGTGGTGTCATGGTGGCCAAAGAGAAGTGCTTTCAGGAGGGAGTGGTCAGCTGTGTCAGATGCTGCCATGAGGCCGAGTGAGTTTAAGCAGAGAAAAGCGTGCTCTGAATTGGGCAACAATGAACAGGTGGAGGCAATGCCAGGCCAGTAGGCAGCACTGTGACCTGTGACGAGCTGAGCCCAGGTTGGAGGGGAAATTCTAGCTCTTCCTCTGGTGCATGTCCTTCAAGCACGCTCCCCAACGGCTAGCCATGGAACTAACCCGGTGACGTTTTCAAACCCACAACCTTTCCATCCTCACCTACCCTCACAGCTTCTTGTACCTGGAATCTCACTCCCTCAGAGTTCCCACATTATCTTTTTGGTAAAAAGACAATTTTCTGAACTTCCATTTCAGACATTTGATTTCAAGCAGAAAATAATTATTCTGCCTCTACCTAGCTCGCTGCCTGTTGCTAGGTGCCGAAAGGTACAAAAATGAATGAGACACAGCCCCAGAACAGGCAGGATGAAACCACTGCTAATTAGAGCTGTTGTAGGTACCCAGAGGGCAGAGGGAAGAGCCGCCAGGAGAACATGGAGATCAGGTTACCCGGTAAAATGTACATGATTCAATTTTGTCCCTTTCCACCAACACAACTAATCCCTTCACCTCCACACTCAATCCCAGTGCTCTAGGGCGCTTTTCGCTCACTACCTGTCACTGCTCTTCAAACTGGGGCTCTCACAGCCCTCCTCCCTTCAAATGTCAGCGTGTAAGAAACAGCACCTTCCCAGACCCCACTGTCCCCTTTCCCTTCCTGCTTTCTTGGCCAGGCTCCAGATCACCCTCCCCCCCAGGTGGGCTTCTGCCCCCTCCCCCACAGTTACTGTGGCAAAGGTCCCCAAAGGCCAGATCCCAGCCATGCACTTACCTCCCGAATTTTGTGGATCTGGCCCACCAGTGGCCACCCTGACCTCTGGAAATGTTCTTTCGTGGGCTTCTGAGATCTCCTTTTCCTTGTCTTCCTCTCTTTCTCAGGCTTCCCTACCCATGTCCATTGGTTTCTGGACTTCTCTTTCACTCTGCACCTTTTCCCTAAAGCTTTGCCTACCTCCTAGGGGCCAATCCCCCAAACTGAGAATCCAGTTCAAGTCACCTTTGAGGTCTAGACCAACACACTGATCTTTCTCTAAGGCCACTCTTTCATTTGCCGTCCAGAGCTCTACTCTGAGCTCTAGAACCCAATGGCCAACCATCTTACCGATATCTCAGGCATGTTAACAACATGACCCAAATGGAACTCCTGGTCTGTTTTTCTTTTTGTACTTGATTATCTCTCTTTGTTCGAATTCCTAATCTTCCCCAAATTTGTTCTTGTCTGGTGTTTCCTATTCGGGGGAATGACAACACCGCTATGGTAGGAGACACTTGACTGTCACCCTAAAATCCAATGTCAATGCCACATCCTGCCCTAAGGCCAGTTGATCTACTTCCTGTCTCCATCATCATCACCAATAGCTTAGTCCAAGCCATCATTTCTCAGCTGGCCCACTGCAGTCACCAGCTAATTGATCTCCTTAAATCCACTCTTCCCCCCAATAGTCCAACCCCTACAGAGCAGCCAGATTGGTCTTTTCAAAATACCCATCTTTTTTCATACCCATATCCTACTGAAACCCACTCAATAGTTCTTAGGAAAAGATCAACATGGTTTTCTTCAGCCTCATCATACATCGTGTTCCCACCCCAACTGGACATAGTTCCTTCCCAACAATCTTTTCTTCTTGGTTCTTGCTAACAGAAGCCACTCTCCATGTGACATAGATTGGCTTATGTCAGTTACAGTGGTCAGGCTCACTTTTCTTGTCAGCAGTTGGTTTTGTGAGTGGGCATGTGGTGCAAATATGCTCAATGAGAGGTGGTGGTGGCAGGGTCTTTTGCGAAAGGTTTCTTAGTTCTTAAAAAGCAGTATAAGGAAAAACCACTTTTTTTCCCATCTATCTCTGGATCCATCATTGTATGGTGGATACAATGCCTGGAGTGGCTGCAGCCATCTTGTGACGTGGAGGCAGGAGCCCACATGCTGAGGGTGGCAGAACTGAAAGCTAGAACAGAAACTGGGTCCTTGATGCCATTAGAGCTGCATCCTTTGGGGCTTCTCATTATGTGTGATAATAAATTTCTTATTGTTTAAATGTTTTGGAGTTGAGTTTTCTGTCACTGTGTCAAAATCGTTCTTACCTATCAATACGGCAGCCATGATAGCCCTCTGGCTTCTCGGATGCACCGCCCTCCCACCGTGGAGCTCCGCACACACTGTTTCCTTCTGTGCAATGTTCTCCTCATTCCTAGTTAACTTCCCCTCCTCTAGTCAAATGTTATTTCTCTGATCTAGAAAGATTTCTCCATGACACCTATCAGAGTTTCAAATTATGGATTTCTTTATTTACTTGATTAATATCCTCGCTGGACTGGCAGTTTATGAGGGCAGAGACCAGGTCCGTCTTTGCTCAGCATCGTGTACCCCCCTCCATGTCCGTCCGGTGCTTAGAAGAACCAAGTTCACCAATGCAGTCAGAGTCCTGGTAGGAAAGAGGGTGGTGCAAAAGAATTTAACTGAAACGAATTTAATGAAAGAACTATTCACAGAGCGTGGCAGGGCTAGGGGTTCTAGAGACAATAAAGGACCCAGGGATGAGCAAGAGTTGGAAGTCATCACCACTTCTAGGAATGAAGAGATGAAGTGTGGGTTTTCAGAATCTAGGGAGAAAGCTGTGGCTTAAGAAAGGGACCCCACCTGTGGCCACAGTAAAGGAACGCAGTCAGTGCCAACCCACAGCCCATAAGAAGGCAGGCAGGGAACCTATCTCTTCCCTTTCTTCACTCTCCCATTGGTTCCTCCACTGGTCAAACTCAGCTACAAGCCAGAGGGGCAAGGAGCCTGGGTGTTGTAAAAGTTGGCCATACAGGGCACAGAACAGGACGGAGAAAGACACTGGCTCTGAAGGGGCCAGTGAAGACTGTCTGCACAGGTATCAAATGACCTTCTCGCTACTCAATTCTACGCAACTTTTCTTATTCGTCTCAACCACCCTGCAAAATCTGACAGTGTAGACAACCTTACACAGAGTTTTTCAGGATTAAAAAGCACACCATGAGGGAGTTTTTCCAGGTCTCACTCTCTTCTCTCGAGACATCTCCAATCATACCCTTTCAGCGGGGTCAGAGGATGGATCCCAGCTCACAAATCATTCGTCTTCTTATCCTCTCCCTCTCTGCTGGTGCCCTCTTTTGAGAAAATTCTAGGGTCTCTTGTTTTCAATAATCCTCCCTCGATCACCCATATTTTTCTCCCTGTCACCTAACTCCTCCCCTAGCCACCCAACCTTCTCTAAGGAGGGGTCTGAATCTCCTCACCCATTCACTCTATTGCCCCTCGTAAGCTAGCTTTTACCCCCACAAGCCCCTCCCCCCAAAAAAACCCCACCAGTTCCTGCCAGGGTTCATAACAACCCCCTGATTGCGAAATTCAGAGGACTTTGCTCCTTATTTTTCTGAGATTCGGGACATATAGCAGCGTTGATTACTTTCTCCTTGAAACTCTTCACTACCTTGGTTGCCATGGCTACCCCCTCTCCAAGTTGTTTGTCTCATCTCTCAGGTCCTTCCTTCTCTCTTTCCTTTGTCACCCGCCCACACCTCAATCAGCCCCTCAAATGTCGCTGTAACTCATGATTCTGCCCTAGGCCCTCTACCATTCTCTCCCTACTCCCTCTCCCTGAGATTCTCATTACCCTCTATCCCTAGGTTGACCCTTCCAGTAGAATCTCTTCCTGAGCCTCTCTGGCTTTGGGATCCAGCTGCCTGCTGGGCCCCACCTGGCTGTGCCCCTCTGTCTGAGACTGATCCCACTGTTGCCCCCACAAACTGGCCCCCACATTGTGTTCCCCATCCCAAGCACTTCCCCGCCATTCACCATGGGCCCCACTCAAGACACATGGGACTCATCCTTGGCTCTGCCCTCACTCTCACTCCAACACCCAACAATTACCATTCAATTGTGACTTTATTTTCTAAAGATGTCTGGGTTCTGTCCAGCCCCTCTGTCATGGCGTTATCCTATCTTACCTGGGCCATGACCGTAGTTCCTCAATTGGTATCCCTACCTGGAGACGGTCACCTTCTAAATCTAGCCTTCATATTAGCTACCACAGTGACTTTCCCAAACCACAAATCTGAAATGTCACTGGTGTAAAAACTTTCAATAGTGCCTACTGACTATAGGATGGTGTCGAAACTCCTTGACGTAGGGGGTGGGGGTGGGGGGACAGGGGCATCCAAGGCCCTACAGGGCCTGATCTCTGTCTACTTCTTCAGTTCCACTTTTCTCATTCCCTCCTTCTCTCATACTCCAGGAACGCCAAATGCCCTCAAGCTAACTCTGGCTACTTCTCACTTCCAGGGCTTTGCTTGTGTAGCTTCCTTTGTTTGAAATGTCCTTCTAGGCCTTTCTGCCTTGCTCATCTTTAGGAAGCAGACCAGTAGTAACCTCCCCTGGAAAGCTCTGTGCGTGCCTGTGTCCCATGATTGCACTTACCACACTGTATTATAATGGTCCACTTAAACGGTGTGTAGTTGGACATTGTATATATGATTCAATGTGTTTCCCCCACACACACTCCCTTGCCTGTCACTGTTTTGTGTAACAAACAACCCCAAACTTTGGTGGCTTAAAAACACAATATATAATTTGTCATGGTTCTGGGGATTGACAGGGCTCAGCTGGGTGGTTCTTGTTTAATGTCTCTCCTGCAATTGCAGTCAGATGGCAGCTAGGCTTACTGAGCAAGGACGCTTATTCACATAGCTGGTAGTCAGCTCAGCTGAGGTTGTGGACTGGAGTGCCCACATGTGGATTCACCACACGGCCGGACTTCTCACAGTGTGGCAGCTGGGATGCAAGAGGGAGTGGTCCAAGACCAAGTGTTTCAAGAGGTCTGTGCAGAAGCGACAAGGCTTCTGATGACCTAGTCTTACACATCCTAGAATGTCCTTTCTACTACGTTCTGTTGGCCAAGAAAGTCACTAAATCCAGCCCAGATTCACGGGGAGGGTAAGTAGACTCTACTTCTTGATATGAGAAGTAGTATGTGTATACTGGAAGGGCAGAAATGGATGGTGGCCATCTTTGGAGACTCGCTACCATCATCACTCTCTCCTGATTCAGTTAGAGCTTTAAGGGAGGGTTGGTATTGTGAGAGCATGAATGCAAGGAGAAAGACAGTCGATCGTTTTAAATAGCCTCTTGAAACCTACAGCAGAGAGAGGGTGTTTGGTGGTGGTTACTGGCCTTTTGTAAAGAGAAAAGAACCTGAGGGACTCAGAACTTGAAATTGATGCCCTGAGCAGTAAATAGGGAAGAATGCAGAAGCTGTCTTTCTACCTGTAAGAAAAGTTTAACCAGCTAGTGGGAAGAAGGGGAATAATATGGATATGTAACAAATAGATACTAGATCTCCCAAAATAAATTTGGGGTGTCCTGGAGTAGAAGGGGCTATTGCTTGGCTCCTCATGGTGTTGCCCAGGAGACCAACACCTCCCAGCTTGGGCTGGCTAGGTTGAGAGTCCTGCTGGGAGTGATCTGACAGATGAAACTGTGGATGTCCTCCAGGGTCCTGTGTGTCCCCATAGCAAGGTGCTGATGGCGAGGGGATAGGGAAGTGGGTGAGTGTGGGTGGTGGATTTTTTTTTTAAAGATTTTTATTGGGGAATTGGGGGGATGGCAACAGTGCTGGGGAATTGGGGGAAGGGGAACAGACAAGTTGCTGTCGTTTTTGTTCTTCAGTCTAGTTGTGGAGGACGTTGCTTCACTGGCGCAAGTTGGCACCATCATTGTGCTCTTCCCAGGCGAGGCAGATCAGTCGCCGGCTTCTGGACGGCCGCTCACTGCAGCTGCTGGCCGCTCACGCTGGCTGCTGGCTGCACACGGCAGCCGATGGCAACCCACTGCCACAGGGGCTGCAGCCTCCGCCGTCGCCAGCGACCCCTCACGGCAGCCCAGCTCCAGGTTGAGCTGTTGTTCAGCATCTTATTTGTGGAGGGCAGTGTCACTGGCCCTCATATGTGGGATCCGAACCGGGGCCCTCTGGCGTCCCAAGCCAGTTCTTAACCATCGTGCCACTCGGCCGGCCCTGGGTGGTGGATTTGGAAATGCATTGTGGTCAGGATAAGGACTCAGCTGGGGTGTCTCTGCTGGGATGACACTAGCGGATGGACCCTGGTGATCAGGATCAGATCCACACCCTGGTGCCAGGGCAAAATAGGAGACCTCAGAACACAGGCCGTCCTCAGGAGGAAGGGAAGGAGCAGTGGGAAGCAGAGAAGCTGAAAGTGGACCAGCTTCTCTACTTAATCTACTTAAGACAGACGAAGGAAAAGTCCAGAGGTGACTGCATTTACCTTGAACTTACAGATGAAGTTAGTGCTTCCAAACACGAAGCGGTGGGGGGCGGTGGTAAGAGTGAACTTGAGTTATGGAGAAATAAAAAAGCTGTATTTTGGCAAAGCTCTGTTTGTGGCAGTTTCTGGGCCAGCAACCTGGAGCCATCTTTAAACTTTCATCCTCTGATCGCTCTCATGCTTCCGATTTCTACCTCCAAAAAACTCCTCTTGAATCCACCTCCCCTCCATACGCATTGCCTTTTCTCTCAGCCCTGCATCACTTCTCACCTGGACAGCTGTGGTACCCTCTTAGGTATTCTCCCTACCTCCAGGCCTGTCGAGCCCGCTCCAAACCCTTTTCTGTGGGCAACAAGAAGGCTAATGGGACACATCTATTATTGTCTTTACCTAGACCAGTGCCAACTCTCCTGGGAAATCCTTCTGCACTTCAACCTGTTTTGAATGGAATTTGTCTTATCACATAACCCACCTTATTGGTCATCATTGATTGGCCAGGGGTAATGGGGCCCCTGACTTAGGCTGTGCCGGTCGAAGCCCTTCCTCAAATTTCTTGACTTGGGAACAAAGAGAGCTCACAAACTAACACTTACGAAGCACTTACAAGGTCTGACAATTAAGTTTGTGAACTTGTTGCAATGATGTTGCTAAACTTTTTTGAGGGGTTATCAGAGGGGTTATTCATTATGAATTTGTATCAACTGGACAAACAATTAACTAAGTTTATTATTTGGAAGTGATGAAAAGGCTGCATAAAAAAGTTAGACGAAAACAACCTGAACTTTTCGCCAACAATTCATGGCTCACACGGCCCTGTCTGAGAGGGAGTTTTTAGCAGTAAACAAATAACTGTATTGACACACCCTCCCTACTCACCTGATCTGACCCCCAATGACTTCTTTCTTTACCCGAAGATAAAGGAAATATTAAAAGGAAGACATTTTGATGACATTCAGGACATCGAGGGTAATACGACAATAGCTCTGATGGCCATTCCAGAAAAAGAATTCCAAAATTGCTTTGAAAGGTGGACTAAGCGCTGGCATCGGTGCATAGCTTCCCAAGGGGAGTACTTCGAAGATGACCATAGTAATATTCAACAATGAAGTATATAGAACTTTTT